AATACAATCATCACAGAGAATTGTTCAATTCAGAATGAAACAATTAGTTATTATGTTGTTAAACTGTTATGAAACAGAATCATTTATCAAAAAAAGGAAAAGAATAATTAAAAGACCTTTGCTAATAAATAAAATTTTAAAATATCATTGATAAATATAGTAATGGTCTTTAGACCGTTTAAAAGAAAAATCCAAATTTTATGTTTCTTCTTACCTAACATGAAAATACGGTAAAATTGATTCAACATATAGATTGTTTTATAAATTTTTTTTTAAATTTTGAATTATCATAATCTATTAAAACAAAACTGACAAATTAATCATTCCCATATTATTTTGATTGAATGATTTGTAGTTTTGATCATTGAATAATGTAACTAGTTAGTGTCAACTAAGTAGTTCTACCTAATTAAACTTCATCTGATTAAAATTTAAAAAATAATTTAATGAGTAAAAAAATCCGTTTAACGAGCTCAGTATTGAATTAAGCTGTCATCATAAACAATACTATTATAGGAATATTTAATTTTTAAATTATTCAAAACGAAATATACACAAATTAGATTTCTGTGTGTATCAAAAACATAAAATTTGTGTACACAACTATCATAATTATAAATTGTCAGTAATAAAAATATCAATGAGGTGGCAGGTGTGAATAATACATTCACACTAGGCATTCATTGAAGTCATGAATCAATCAATGTTAGACGACCATTAGAAACTTGAAAGCACTGGATGGCTGTTTGGCCCAAATTTGGGGCCCTCGGTTTCGCGCACGAAGCACAGAGCCGGCACTCAATGGTGTTACTGTCTAACTTCAGTCAATCCAGGGTATTGTGCGATCTCACCCGTTGTCTTCACTGGGTAAATGCCTCACACCCGACAGGGTAGAACTATTCTAAGCATAAGCAACCATCGAATAGTTATCTGGAAACATTGTATTTGAATAATCCCAGAGATTGAAATTTAAATAATTCTAGAGTTTCGTATGCCGAAGTAGTTTGAGCTTCTTCAGGGGAATAATCCACGTAAAATTAATGATGATAATCAAGGTTAACATACTAGCTTATACTAAAATTTTATCCAATCAGGTTTAAATGTCGATTTGGTGTGTAATAATATTAGTAATAATACTAAGTCAGTACATATTTGTATCCAACATATAGATTTAATACACTGCACATCAATTGAGATAATTGAACACGTGTTTTTATATGATGATGACTGTTGTCAGTTCAATCAAATGATACAATAAAAATGAAAATAAAACAAAAAAAGTACATCTTAACGATAGTTTTTACACAAATAAAATAACCAATTATCTTTTGAAAAATAGATACATTTGTATTCATTACTGTGAGTAGTTTGTTCATTGTTGAGAAAAGCAGTAAATGAAATAAAAAAAACTCTGAATTAGCGAAAATAATCAGTGGATAGTTGTTAGCGTTAGGTAGCTCGACTCGCTGCTACTGATTAATTAAAAATCATCACTTAAACTATTAGTCACAATATAAATTGGTAAATAGAATTCAATTAGCACTAATGAATAGATACGATAGTGATCATTATAAAGTAATCGATTAATTGTGAAATGATTATCTTTATTGGAATCTCCTAAGAGTAAATATAAGTACTTTTACGATATCTAGATACAACTGTTAACTAGCATGAAATCTACATTCAGTTTTAGTGTACACTGAAATATCTAAAATTCAAAATAAACTAACAATATTAATCAATATCAATAGTTGTTTCATGACTTTGTGCACATCTTGATCAGCTCCATAGTTAAGAGTTTTGTATCTAAATATCAACATGTTCATGTGAAAAGCATATAGACACTGAATTGTGCATTATTACAGATTTGAACAAGCAGATAATAGTGTACGTGTAACAGCATATGAGGTGGTGAGGTTTGATTGTTTACAGTTGAGAAATTAAGGACTATCACAAAATAGCTAGATAGCAAAAATATCAACTTGTGATTAAATAATAACAAAACTCATCAACATCTTCGAAACCATGAAAAAAGTTTGAAAGTAATATCATACAACACGAATTAAATTACTATCAGCTTGATAGATTTTTAACGGAAAACTAGTATGACCAACAATTAACTCATTGTTAATATTCTCATTTCTTGACTTTTAAACAACATAAGGAAACCGAACTATCAAGAAGTGTTACACAATTCAACTGTCTGCAGTAATAGAATAGTATAATAAATTGTATATTTTAAATTTCCAAACAAAAGAATATTATATAAGATGATTGACTTATATAATACAAATAATTATTTACTGGATTCAGAAATCTACCAATCAGAATATATGTCAATTACGTGATTATTAACTATGAAACTGAGAATTACGACTAATCATGCATAATATGACAAGAGAAAATGTTAAACACTAGATATCTTCATATGACATGAACAAAATATCACTCAGATACACAACATCGTTAATGTTGTAACATTAGCCTGTTTATGCTTACGTAAGTGTAATTCTATACTTAAATATATAATAACAATCCGAATTATGATTGATAGTTATCGTGGTTGAGTTTTTCTTAGTGCAAATTGAACTTTAATTATCAGGTGACCATTAGATTTTACATTAAAACTAATTTTTCTGATTGGAAGCATATGAAAACGAGTTACATTAGGAAAGTTGCTTTACGTGAAAACTCATAGATATTTATCAAATAATCAATTCAAAAATAATATTCTAACTAATGATCAAATATATGTGTTTGAACGGCAGATCTTTCTTCATCTTCGACTGAAAAGAAATAGTATGTTGACTGAACTGTTAAAGTATTTAAATGTAAATAAATAACTAAGCAGTTGAATGAATACTGAATGCTTACACAACCAACCATTATGATTCACAAGTACACCCAAATCATAGTTTACGTTTAACTACGTTTTTACGTTACTATATAAGGTTACGATAAAATTAGCATTTCTAGTCAAAAAAAACAGTGTAAGTGACACCTTTTTGTAGCACGAAAACAAACAATTATTGATTTTATACACAATTTTAAGTAGTGTTGTTAAGATCTACTAATTTATCATACCATACACAAAGAGAATCTCTTAGTTTACTCACCTTGATTAACAGCACAACGGAGTTTCTGAATTGTAGCACCATTGCCACTTGACCGATAAATCCCAATATGATCCAGTCCTAAAATTAATGGAAAAGGTAAAAAAAATGTAAAAATTATTAAACTTGAATATAGATGGATAAGAATTCAAAAAATTACTTTTAGTATGGAAAGGATAGAATGTGGAGAATAGTGGAATTTAAGACGCGGATCTCGTGCCATTTGAGACACGTCAGTTAGATATATCTGCATCTCAGAGTTGATCTTCAATCTAGCATTCGAGTCAAATACTATTCTCCCCAAACACCGTTGCCTTATACACTTAGCTATTGAATCCGAAACACACTCAACCACTCGTGTGATGGGTATGAGTTTTGATATTTTGAAATGGAATTTTATCGATCTTGGTTGGTATGCGTATATCTAATACGAATAGAGGTGTATTCAGTCGACAGTTCTTAAATAAAACGAAAGCGCATCGTCGCCAAGTATGCTTGAAATTATTACAGGTTCACCTTAGTCGATAAACCCGAACGAGACAATGAACCAGCGTCCACGTAGGCTACCTTGAATCCCAAACTGCAAAACATAAGACTTGGTAGGTGTAGAAAGTATATTCTACAAACACCCAGCAAGCGCAATGAATCAAGCACACAAATCTCGTTTAGTTATATATGGTAGAACATGGGACAGTCGCAAAAATAGCACACAGCAGCCAATCACAACAAAGGATTTTACTGGTGGGAAATGAAATCTCAACGTCAACTGATGTTCCGACACGTAAAATCTAAATTAAGGCATTTATCAAGCGAGTTCTGGGGATCTAACATATTCCACTGCTGGCCACATTTTCTTTATTCTTTACTAACTTGTGTCATAATCTTTATATTGAAGCAATCTGCATGCGATGCGCATATGACCAAATTGTAGTTAGAAAAATCAACAACAGGATAAATCCAGTGTTTATGGGCCTGGTTCCTGGATCGAGGATCGTGGGTGTGCACTTTTGTATAGCCCAATACATAAACGAAATGCTCATCTAGCGCTTCTGAGTCTTCAACGGTGGTCTAGCTAAGATCCGTTCATGATTCACACAATGCGAACAGGAACAAAGTGATTTTCTGGAATATGTTGTGGTATTTTATAACGAGAAGGGTGAGTTCCGCATCTGGCCGTTTGACTTGGTGATTAACGCGGTCAAGTAATGATGGCACATAAGTACGGAAAATTGAAATTAAAAGCTCATAGTTGGTGTATTACAAAAGGCCGTTCGTAATTACAAAAACTTATATACAAAATATTCTACACAAAAAATATGATTGAAATTCACTTGAAATGTGAATGATTATTACATTTAGATTTTATAGATCGTTTCCAAGCCAATGAAACAAGAGGTTGCTTAACAGGTTCACTTATTCCCTGATATCTCATACGTGGTGGTACTTTGATGTTTATTATGAAAATACTAACAGATCTAAAGATGTTGTCTTTCGATTTACATAAAGAAGAGAATCGAAAAACACGGGGTAGCAAATTGCTCACTTTCCGTTATTTCATGGCTTTAAACGTACAAAGTCAACTAACACAACAAAATCCACTAATACAAAGGTTCAGAGCAACTGCCTTTAAGTATGCTTCCAAGATCTTAAATACCAAACCAGCCTCTCTTATGGTTTCTTTAAGCGAAATGTGTATCTCGATGATATGGATCATTCAAATGCGCACATACAAAAATAGTCAGTCAGTCAGTCATATGCAACGCAGAACGTCGTACGTAAGTACATCAGTTCATGTTGCCATACCACATCAGCACAGAGATGTATTTGTCAATTCAAATCCAATAGTAGTAGAGGTAGTAAGGGAATTAGAAGTAATCGGAGAGGTTAGGATTAGAAGATACTATTCAAGAAGTATGATTAGAAGAAAAAAGTTTAGAAAGTCAAAACTAGAGGTGTTGGAGAATCTAGAATATTAGGATTTGAGAGAACACAAAGAATAAATGCACCGGCGCCATTGCGAACGATTCTGAGCCATATCATTCAAGGTCTCTAACCATCGATTATTATCATCTCGCGGACCCCAACCAGGTAGTCGACAATTACCGACATGATTCAGTCCACTTGTCAATGAATTCATGGATTTATGCCATGTTTTGGTCTGGCCGCCCCTAACTTTCTTCCAACCTATTCCTACACTACAAAACAAAGCTCGTCGAGGCAGTCGGTGGTTAGGCATACGCAACACATGTCCCAACCACCTCAACTGATGAAGTTTCATTACTTTATTTATCGATCTGCCATTCTAACCTAGCACCCGATTCCTAGTAACAGCGTTGCTCACTCGGGTGTCCCACGATATACGAGCAATGCTTCGGAGACACCTATGATCGAAAACCAATAACCTACGAATATCTTCTACTCTCACTGGCCATGTTTCACAGCCATATAGGAGAACGGAGCGAACTGCTGCTCAGTACACTCGTCCTTTGATTAGAGAACGGATATCACGCCTACGCCATAAGTGACGCAGGTTGGCAAAAGCCAATCGAGCCTTCTGTATCCGAGCTGAGATTTCGTCAGTCACCAGGCCATCAGCACTGATGAGACTCCCAAGATAAGTGAAGCGGTCTACACGTTCGACTACTTCACTCCTTATCACTAGTTCAGGTGCCGATGCAACCCAGTCTTGAAGCAACATTTAACATTTCGAGGGGGAAAACCGCATCCCGAACATGCTTGCATTGTTGCTTAGGGTAGTCAGAAGACCCTGCATTTTGTCAGCGTCTTCACCAAGTAGGACTATGTCATCGGCATATTCTAAGTCAATAAGCGAGCCACCTGGTAGAAGGTCTACTCCAGAAAATTCAGACGAGGATAAGATTATTTCTAGGAGCATGTCTATGATAAAATTAAACAGAAATGGAGAAAGTGGACATCCCTCACGGATACCACTTGATGTAGAGAATTCCGGTGACAGTTCGCCATAAGCCCTCACTCGACCAGTGGTGTTCGAGTAAAGGGCTTGTATAAGGTTAATGTACTTCTTTGGTACACCTTTCAATGATAGACACTGCCACAGAACCTCACGATCCACAGGGTCAAATGCCGCCTTAAGGTCCAGGAAAACAACTATTGTAGGACGCCTAAATGTGTGTCTATGTTCCAGGACCAGTCGTAGTGTGAAGATGTGGTCTATACAACCACGTCCAGGTCGAAAACCAGTCTGGTTTTCTCGAGTCTGCTCTTCACGAGCTTTCGTTAAGCGTCGAAGTATTATTGAGGCCAATATTTTAGATACTATATTAGTTAGACTTATTCCTCTGTGATTGTCACAAGAAGACTTCTGTCCTTTCTTATAGATTGGGACAATCAGTGATTGAGACCAGTCGGATGGGATTGTGTCCAGTTCCCAGATTCTAGGGACCAGGAATGACGTTTCGTGAACTCGCATCGTTTGCGTTAGGGTGCACTGTGATAAATGAATGTGAGAAGAGTTAGTCGTGGAGATAAGAGAGGTATTAGGGGGTGTAGGAAGGATTTCATTTCGACCAATTTGGTCTCTCGTGCTGCTACAGGTATGAGGACGGTTGACGCTTCCCGGCTGCCCACACCGTGGAAGGTTGTTTCTTGAGGGACTTGAAAAGGAAGGTAGATTAGTGTTGGTCTTAGAGACCTGGCTGCGTGACCGCAGAGTCCAAGGGACAACTGCTTGAGGCCGGTCACGCACGGCCTTTTTATGAAACGTTTTTTGAGGATTAGCTCCGTTCTTAAAGGCTCTTAGTGGGCACCCGTACTAACGGAGACGAAAATCCATGAGGTAGGGCGAGGTGTGACATTTTTAGGGTCGACATTTTCTAACCCTTCCTTCCTTGTGAGAAGGCAGCATCGCTGTAGATGCTGGTTGTCCGAGGGAAACACCTTACTTGCTGTCACACCCCTCTGCAGTCAGCAGTACGACTTCGCCCTCAGACCTTGGGTAGCTGATTTTAGCCTCATCGTTCTTCAATCGACCAGCCTGGCATGGTAGAACCTTCAGGGACATATGTTCCAGCCAGTATAGCTTGGTTGGGTCATGACGATAGGCAAGCCCGACCACCACGTCAAGGTAGCAGCTACGGTCGGGTATACAAAAATATATGTTATGACAGATGGCATTCGATAAAAGTAGAATTGTGTGCAAAAGCAACACATGTCATACACAATTAGAACAGGATTGCAAATTTAGTAAATTTTCTGAGACGTTAACTATAAGTGGTCTAACACACCAAACAGGCAGGGAATTACAAAAATGATGTAATATATATATATATATAACACAAAAACAAAACTACCTCGAGCTTCAATCGCACGAATTGCACGAATTACAAAATTAGGTGCATCAGAATCTTCATTTTCACATATTTGCATGATTGTTGATGCAAATACAGATTCATCTATTTTAAGAGAAAGTTGGGTACAAAATTATTAATTAATACTCATGAAATTTTTTTTATAAAAGGTGATGAAAACACATCAAGTAATAAACTGATCTATGCAAAATGAAGCATACAATTAATTGTTCTTTACGAACTTGAATGGCAGATCAATTAGGTTTTCTTTTGGATTTTAGTTTATTATCAATGAGACAGGTTGAATTTTGGTGTTTGATAGAAAACTGTTAATTTTATTATTTGCTCAAAATAATACTGTAGTATATTCAGTTAATGAAATAACGATACAGATACATTCAAACACAGAGTGCGAGAGATGAAGAGATACAGTAAACTAGGTTAAGTTGTGACATTGAAACATATGAAAATGAACTACTAATCTATTTTAGTAGCTTAGTTGTTATAACAACAGTAAAACAGAATAGTTTAAAAATTTATTACTTATTTAGAAAAATTTATCTTTCATTTCAATATTGTATTTAATTGTCCAGTAGATGGGTATGTGATTAAATTATTGATTTTTTTTGTAGATTAATGGGCATAGATTATTTTGTATAGATTATTTTTTCTATCATTCTAATAATGTACTTGGTTTTGTACAGATATGTTTATCAAAAGATAACATGTAACGGATACTTATATTGTTTAGATGGTTTAACAAGATATTATCTAGAAATGTAGGTAAGTTAGATAAAGACTTAGAGTTTATATTGTGAGGGTTCAATAACAAAACTTAATAAAATTATACTAACGTACTACTAGAAAGTAAACATCAACAGAGAAACTCATAAAAGATTCTTTAAAACAATCTTAACATGTTAAAAAATCTATCGTCTGTTTTTGTCAGAGCAATGGTAAACAATCGCTGTCTTAACTAAATATCCAACTCAATATTTACAATTGACACCATCAGTATCAAACTAAGTACATTGAAATTGATAAAAATTTGTTTATTCATGTGCATGCACTCTTTGTGTTCTCTCAAATCCTAACCTCTGGACCGCTGGGCCGGCATCCAACGGTATTAATGTCAAACTCTGATAGATCTAGGAATTTCGCGCAACCTCACCCATTTGTCTTTGGTAGTTACTGCCTACACCCGACAGGGTTGAACTCCATTAGTCACGTCTTCTCACGAAGCTAGTCCCCAGTGAGCACATGTTACGATATTTTCAGTTAGTTTTGGAGATTTGTGTTTTTACATACAATACCGAAGGTCCCGGGTTCGAATCCTGCGAGGTGCAGGGGTCGTGGATGCGCACTGCTGATGAGTCTCATACCAGGACGAAACAGCCGTCCAGTGCTTCCAGGTTTCTAAAGGTGGTCTAACAATGATTGATTGATGGTTTCCAATGTGTAAAAACACAAATCTCCAAAACTCTAACTGAAAATACTTTTAATACCTATACTACTATGGGATTTGAATTGAAAATTGCATCTCTGTGCTAATGTGGTATGGCAACTTGTACTGACGTACGTACGAAGTTCTACGTTGTAACTGACTAACTGTTTATTCATGTATTGGTATGGAAAACACAATCTGCTGAAGATATATAGATGCCTAACAGAATAAAAACAAAACTGATTATTGGCTGGATTAAATCGCTGGAAATTTTCATGATAAAACATAATCTTCACATTGAAAGACGATCATTTTTTGTACTTCAGATTTAAATTACAAAAATGATACTGTATATGAAAGACATAGAATTGATTGTTTCCAATAGAAAAAAATCAAATGGACAGTTTGTAAATGATTCATTAAAAAACTACAATCACGTTCAAATAATCTTTTTTTTTCAAAGTTGCATATTGATCAACATGTCTCTCTGTGTGTCCTACATGAAATCAGTGTTTACATATTGATAACAAGTTATTCACATTTTGTCTACTTATAATGCATGTTAACACTGGTTAAATTAGAACGTTGAGTATAATACACAACAAAAATAAATCAATTCTATTTACATTTACTTTGATATAAATAAAAGAGAACTATTTATTATCAATCGTATGTGAAAAGTTCACCAAAAGAAACACACATTAATTGAAACTAAGAAACAAATCTTTGTAAAATAAAAAAAAAACATAGTTCGATCAATGCTTTATGTAGCACTAACAATAATCACTGTCTGATTTATTTTTTTTCAATCGTTTTATGTACAAATTCCATTCAAGTTATTTTGTTAATTTCGATTATTATTATTATTATTGTTAGTAGTAGTAGTACTGATGATATAGTTAGTAAATGTTAATTACATGGTCAAAACGGTCTTCATCAAAAAGATAAATTCTTTTTATAAACAACTGTTAATTAATGCACACTTTGTATGTTATTCATTGTTCGAGAGAACAATACAATATATCCAGTAAACAAGTGATTTCATATGTTAACATCAAGTAATGGAGGATAAAAAAAGTTATCGAACAGCGTTTAAATTGAGTTGGTGGATAGGAAGGATTTAGTGAGGGGAATTATAAAGCCCTGATTCTAAATAACGATGAACATAAACTCTAGGACTCTGAGGAAAAGAGTGATATATCAATGATATATGGCTAGAAGTTTGACATTGTCTTACTGCTCTTTGTGGATGATACTTCTAGAGGAAAGACTCAAGGATTAGCCTTCAAAGCAAACAAGATGATTTGATTTTATTGCAGAGACAATATAGTAAGCTCATGCCCTACATGATATTGGTTATTATCAAAGAAAAGTTTCTTGCTTTCATAGGTTATTTATGAACGCGTTACTTACGATTGTAAAAGAAATATGCAGATTTTTTAACAATGTATCATTTTTCTATTTATTTTCCTAACATTATATGTATAGTCTTCTACAAGACTTCCAATTATAGTGCGCACTGATTAGTTTGACCAGAAAAGATTCATGATCAAACTATCGAGCTGACAAACAAGAGCACTTTCAAAATTATTCCAGTCATTCAACACCTCGACTATGATTAGTTTAGCCCTGTCTAAACAGTGGTGAATGGTAGTTTTTATGGATATACACACCAAATAAAGAACCTGAAGTTGCATTTGTATTCTAAACTGGCCTCGTTCAACATTCACACACTAACATAGATAGGATAAAAAAAATATGTTCGACTATGTCTTAGTAAATTGATGGTACCGACATTTGCTCTATATTGGAGACCAATAATCAGGACTCTAGTATAATACTACACATTTGTTCTTCACTTATCTATTACAACAAGGATTAAATCCTACTACAAAATAATGATTATTTAGAAATATATAGTTTATCAAGTTTAATTGACAAAGTAAAATGTTTGTGTAAAAAACGGTGGTATGTCAGAAAATCTTGTTACAATAATGATAAAACTATTCAGTTATCTGTAGACATGAAATATAAGATTAACGTTATTATTCTCAAAATACTCTTTGTTAGAACCAAAATAATTACGACATTATCTTAAGAAAATTTATTGTCAAATATATATATATAAATATATATAAATATATTGTCAAATATCGTGTGCTACACATAACTGAATTGATTATACGCTACAAAAAACAATTATGCTTTGTATACAACCTGTAATTCTACAGGGAATTTACATATATAGAAACAAAATGTACAAATTACAGATTACTTACTCTTCAAAATACCACGAGATCTTAAAGACGCAGCAGTCGGTCTTGTTCTGAAAAAATCACGTAATTTTGCCAACAATTTTTTGTCCAGCACAGAAGGTTGTACCGATTCATCTGAATGAAATAGTAATATTAAGACAAAATAAAGTACAGTTAAATCGTAAATATAAGAGATTTTTCGACAAGACACAGAGCTGATAGTTCGGAAATCTAATTTTTAGTTACATATAAGTTACAATGACGAAATATGTCACTGATGATAATTAAAATCTGAAAGAAAATGAGAAAGTTACAACGGCGAGAACCAGTGAAAAATGACTGGATACCTTAACTAGTAAACTGCAGCTTCTTTGTCGATGTTATCACTAGGATATTTTACTTTTTTATCCTCTAATTGAGAATATAGGTATAAATTCTTAATAACATTAGCTCTTTCCTTCTCTAGTTGAAAATCTGTTCGAATAAATTGAATAGTAACGATGTGAGAAGACATGTACTGTAGACTTAGCAAAATTTTATGAAGCTAAAACTTAAGCGTCTGAAGTTGAGTTTAAAAACTTTTGGGGAAATTTTTACCATAACGGTGTGAATTAATTTGAAATGGTAATGACTTGAAGACTCTTCATCGATTATATTGTATCTGACTGACTGACTGACTGATATTGTAACATTGGCTATAACTAGTGATTTGTTATATGAGCTCAGATTTATTTCTTTGATGCCTTCTCCCCGAAATGCATCTGATTTTGAGTGAATAATTTATGAATGAAGGATCATGACAGCTAAATCCGTACATCCCCCATGGTCACCGGCTAATACTCTAGTACATCACGTTTGTAATGTGTTGATTAACTTGAGGTTAACTTTTTCGTGACTCTAAGTCAGCTGAATATTGTCATTAACAATCCCTTGTGTTAATAAGACACGTGCATTAAAAGTAATCTTTTTACGTAGAAACGATTAAGACATAAACAATATTACGAATTCAATTACTTCTGAACTTGTGAAATCATAATAAAGTTTCAGAAAAGATCGCTACAAATCTAATTCATCGACGAAAAATAAATCTGGTAAACATACAAACTCATTCAATTATCAAGAGAGATGTACAAGTGCAAGAACGTCTCGTCTTACCAACAAACTTTTAAAGTCAATACACTGAATTTCTTAGCACTAGAACAACCATAAAAAAAATATTATTCCAGTCGTAAATTTACTGAATGACTAATATACACTGAAAATTAAATCAGAAAAATCAAAAATCCCAGCTAGGATGAAGCATGTATCCTAGATTCCAGTGCTAGCCACTGCTTGTCTATTCTATATATATATAAAGTGATTATTTTTAGAACCTTAATTGAATAGAATGATTAAGTTATGTAGCTAGCAAAAGCTTATTTTAGAACATAAAAAGTAAAGAAAGACACTGGAAATAACCGTTTGAAATTTTTAAATAGCATACTACAAACAAAAGTAAACACATTGATGAGAAATATCCTGATTATTAGACAACATAATCATTATATAGGTCATATTCATAGCTTCTGCAAGCTACTATTAATACTACTACTACTACTACTACTACCACTATTAATGCTAACTACTAATGGATGTTTTGATCGATACTTCACCATATAAACTTTAGTAAATTACATATACTGAACAAACAAAATGAGTTAGGAGTTATTAAGACGGACTTGATCAATTATTACAAAGTTGACAACCATACACACTGAAAAAGATGTAGCTATTAAGATACTAATAAGAAACTAATCACATTATATTGTCTCGTTATTACAATGTTCATAGACTCGTACATAAAAGCTAAATATTTTTTAAACACTATTATTATTTATTCCAATCACAAAATAGTCAGTGTTTTCTAGTTTTCTCTTCTGTCTTTTTTTTAAACTAAGAAGAGGTAACGACGACCTTCACATAAAAGTAAACTTTAAAGTTCACCTTGAGTTTTACAGCATGTGTTTAGCAAGTATCTAATTGTTATACAGTAAGAGATATATTGATTAATTTCAAAATTGCTATTTATACGTTTTTTGGTGGTTGATTAAAATGCATAATAACTTATTTCATTGAATGTGAATAAAATTAATGATTCTCAACGCCCATCACAAAATGTAACAAAAGAGACACTAAGTTAAATAATTTTGACCATAATCAGGTAGTTTCCTGTTGGGGACGTTTGCTCCCAGAAACTCATTGGATAGGGTCCTAATTTTGGACTTTTTATGTTTTCGCGCATAAGTCGCCCAGTTGACTTTGGGATTACATTTCCCACTCGGAAATCCTTGACTGTCATTGGTTGATAGATAATTTTGGTACGCTATTTTGTGGCTCCCCCAAGGACGTTTCTATAGTCGTGTAAATAAGCTTGATTTGTGTGCTTAGCGACCGCGTATCTTCTGAGTGCTTGTAGAATACATTCTCTAATCCTTATCAAGACTTGCTGCTATAGTTAGCCGGGGCTGGGACAACGGATTAGAATAGCCTATCGTGTCACTGAGTGATTGCTTGCGTTCGTTTGCTGAATAAGGTGAACTCGTAATAGTTTCAAGCATATCAATTTACGATGGTTGTTTTTGGAGAAATGGATCCTTCTAAACTTGAATTATTACCTGAGCAACAGCTGAAACTAATGCAGATGTTGACACATATCAAGATTTCGCCTTCCACACAGCCTAGCTCATCTAATACAACCACAACACCGTCAGTAGACGGCATCGCAAATAGCATTGCGGAATTCCATTATAATCCTGATGCCAATGTTACTTTTGACATGTGGTTCCGGCGTTATGAAGACCTATTTAAAGTTGATTTTGCTTCGAAAGTTGAGTAATTTGAACCTGCCTTTGTACTCACGTGACTGCTCATCGTCAGACACAGTTCAGACATTAGGCCAACAGTTCGGCGACAACTCTTCATTGTTTAATACTCGTTATCGATGATTGAAGCTAATTGTGAACGAAGATGATGATTTTCTTACGCATGTGGGCATCGTCAACCGTGAATGCGAACGCTTCCAGTTGAAGTCTTTGTCTGCAGACCAGTTTAAAGCCCTCATAATCATTTGCAAGCCTCCAGTGCCAAAAGTTTAGTGACATAAGAACACAGCTACTGAGTCGATTGGATCAAGATCCTAAACTCACCCTTAGTGACATGGCCAATGAGTACCAACGCCTCATTAATCTACGACGAGACACAACTATGTTTCAGAGTGGTGGGTCTAGTTGATCTGAAGTGCATTTAGTACAGCAGACACAGCCGGAGTAAATGTGCCCCTGATACACGCAAAAGAACCCACTCCAGCTCAATCCGCAAAGGGGAAACGAATCCCCCTCCTCCTTGCTGGCACTGTGGTTCATGGCACTATGCACGAAACTGCTCATTTAGGCAACATCAATGCAAGAAGTGGGAGAACGTGAATCATAAAGACGGTTTTTGTTCAAAGAAGAAGCCGAACCGCTCCAGAAGTACGAAAAAGGCTGGTCCTAGATCCCGTACCAATTCTTTGGACCTGATATCTGCTTGTCAAAGCTCATCCCGACGTGAGAGGAAATTCATTACCATGAATATTAATGGGCATTCTTCTAGAATGAAAAAAGTTACTGCATCAGATGTCACCATTCTCTCACGTAAAATATGGACTAAAATGGGCAGCCCAAGCCTGCAACAAGCAACACAAAAGCCTCGTACTGCATGTGGTAATTACCTTCGCTTGTAAGGACAGGTGGAATGTTCTTCGACCAGCTAAAATTAGCTGATGTCTCGTTAAATACCATATACCACCAGGTATCACAACCACATGACCCTGAGGCATACACAAGAAATCTAATGACGCAATTTTCAACTATTTTCCAGCATGGTTTGGGTCAGTGTTCTGCCATGTAGCAACGCTTCGGTTGAAACCTGGGGCTAAGCTTGTTTTCTGTCCAAAGAGATCCGTGACTTATGAAACATTATCAACAGTTGATGAAGAAGTGAATCGCCTTCAGCAACAAGGAGTTATTACGTCCGCTTCTTACTCTGCTTGGGCAGCAGCTGTGGTTGTTATCAAGAAGGCCAACGTCACGATACGTATATGTGCTGACTTCTCTACAGGTCTCAATGCAGCTCTCGGACAGCATAATTATCCTCTGCCAGTCCCAGCAGATCTGTTTACTATGCTGAATGGAGGAAAGTTTTTCGCAAAGCTCGATCTAGCTGATTCTTATTTGCAAGTGGAAGTAGATGAAGCATCAAAAGAGCTGCTTACTATCAATACTCATCGTGGTTTGTTCCAGTACAACCGTCTGCCTTTTGGAGTTAAGACTGCCCCATCTATCTTCCAGCAACTAATGGATACTATCCTATCATATATCTCAGGGGTTGCAGATTATCCAATACCGACGCACTCAACGATTCGGTTAGGCTTATGCTTTATCACGACTAATTAATGAGGAAGAGGCGGTTAGGAAAAATTTATGTGTATGCAGCCAATACGTTAGCATGAAGTATAAGTCTATATATATATATATATATATATATATATATATATATATATATATATATTAAAATTAAACACTAATTTGTAAATTTTTGTATATTAACTATTTCAACATTGGTACCATTATACAACGGTAGGTTGTAGAGAAGAGCTATAAAAAAAACACATCTATGGGTAAGTAATTTGTAATACACAGAAACTACTGTTAAATACTTACAGTAGGAATAATTCAAAAATCTTTGAGACATTTCAATTATGAGATTACAATGTTTTTGATAGTAAAATATAATCATATTTTACCTATTGGCTTCTTGATAAATAATAACATAATTTGGCTAATCTAAGTTTTCTAATGAAATTTAAAACATAAAGGAAATGATTTTTGCAATAGGGTTGATTCAAAATAACGGTAGGTGAAAACTGTGGAAATGTGAATGACATTTAGACTTGGAACAAAAGTGTATTCGCGTCCAGGTTTATGTTTCATAACAAAAAGGAAAACTTGAGTATAATAGACAAAATGTGCAACAAATAAATAAAATTAATGACATAAAAGTAGTAGGTAAACAAAATATGGAACATGAAATTGTTTAGAAAGAGAATATCAAATAGAGATGATACTATATTGCAGATTTAGAAGAGGATATATAACATGAATACATCTGTGATAGTGCAAATTATAAAAATATCATCTAGTTTCTACTCGCAGACCTCATGGATTAGCATAGTATTAGGTTTTGTTCTGATTAAGCAGTAGCTATTGTTTTATTCAGGTTACGCTCTATAATACTTGGCAATATTTAACAAGATGGGCAGAGATATGGTATACGTAATACATATTTCAAATACATTATCAAGAAAATTATCATCCCTTAAACTTGAACAATAAACAATAGTATCAGTTTAAAAAATTGTTATACCATATTGGAATAATTCTTTCAAAATGCCTTTGGTAAAATAATTTCAATTTATTTCTGTTTTTTTTTCACTATAAGTGATTACATCTAGCACTTCTAAATTAATATGGAAGTGATTGCTGAATGATGTACTCGCCTTTCGGTGGGTAGATAAAAACTTCCTTTAAAACATAGGTAGTATAGTTGATCAAACACATAAGATTTTTTATATTTGTGCCAAAATATCACTATCAGCAGATACATCACAGCTGATTAGGTTTTCAAGAAAACTTGAGAGGTTGTTATGATCAATTAATTATCACATTAGGTATTAACTCATATCAACTCTAAAACAGAAGTTTGCATTTAAAGGCTATATTCTATGAGTAAATTTTTGATATCAAATATCAGAGTGTTTACACATTCAAGCTTTTTATTAAATAAGTATTCAGATAAAAGTTAGTGTAGATCGATAAAGAATTTCTGGAATAATTTTATCAATATAATAAAAACAATGACCATATGAATATCACTCACGTTTGGTTAATGAACGTGATAAAGTAACTCCACGATCTTCTTTCTGATAAATGTAACATTAAAAAAATAATAAATAAAAGGAACACTTAATTTAAATAGTTTTACTTTTACTTTCAAAAGAAATTAGTTTTCTAAACTTTTATAATTTATGAAATACCTTAAAATTAAACAAAATTAAATGACCAAAATACAAATGATCTCTAGCATTCCAGATTAATGTAATAATAGAAATTAAAGAGTAATTTTACATAGTTACTATCAATTGATATTAGGATTTTACAAGCTTCTACTTCTAATATCTGATTATGAAGAGAAACTTTTGAATATTTTCATACATAATCCATTATGTGTACATTTAGCATATATAAACAAAATCTACTCAATGAGACATAAAACAAGAAAGATTGATTCAGTGAAGAGTCTACTTTATAGAGAATTCATTTTCAAAGCTGTACAATCGCAAATATATACTTTTCTTTCAATAGTGATTACTATAATAATAATAATGAGCAACAAAGATGTCAGTAGTAAAAGCACTATCGCGTATGAAGAATTTACATAAGCTCGTGTAGGATTTTTTGCATTACCACCATGGTGCCAATTAGTCAAAAATAGACAAATCAACATATTTATATAGAGCAAAAAATTATTTAGGATTCGATCACGCTAGCATATTCAGTTTATTTTCATTTTGCATGAATTTATTTTACACAAGAGTCACTTAAAAGTAATCACAGATTTTATATTTGATTGGTATAAAACGAAGTTGTGAATATGACTATGTGAACTATCAAATACTATGGTAGAACAATGAGAAACATCATCTAAATTATTATGATTAGTATGTTAAGATGAAAGTTGATGACAAAAAATATCATCCAAAATACGTTGGTAAACTTTATCAAGCATAAGATAGCACTTTCCTTCAATCATCAACTGAAGTTATACGGTCTGAATAAGGTCAAGTGAAAATTAATTAGAATAAAAGAGAAAAACTGTTTTCTGTTTAAAGGACAGATAAACTATAGCTAGTAGTAGAATCTGGAATTTACGTGTCATCCTTTCCGAGACTAGTCAGCTCGACGTACCCATATCTAGGTGTTTGTGATTGTACCGAGTTTGAATTCAGTGCTTTTGATAAAATAGGTTATCCACTAAGCTACTGAGTCTACGTAGCCACTACTAACTAAACCAGTTAATAAGTTATTGTATAGGCGTTTGTATCTCTGCCTTGTTGATATACTTGATTGAATTTTGAACTTTTTTGTTAGCATATGCATCCTGACAAAAATTCAGTCCGGGTTATCTACAACGGAGTAATTTAAATCCTCACTAATAATGATTTAAATGAAACACATGTTTGAAATCATAAAGAATTTAAATGTCTGTAAATTTGATTATTTTTATTAAAATTTGGATAAATAAACATGAGACTGTCATCTAAAAGTCATCCTACCAAAAGATCTCTTGCATATCGTATAGCAGCCTTCCATGATTCATAATCCAAAGCTGGAATTTGTACCAACTGAACATTCAACTTTCCAGCAATTCGATATTCAATCTGTGATGATTAAGATGTAATAAATGAAACAAGAAATCAAGTAAATATGAGTACTAGTTAATATTTAATACAGGTTCAAGTAATAACTGAATAATCATACGAGTTAATGTCATGAATTGTAAGTAAAGTAGATGCGCTTTTAATAAGTCAATCGAACTGTTCACTGCTAATCAATGAATATTTATTCGTAAATAAAATATTAAACTCAATGTATTACATATTATTTGTTTTTAGTCTTTTATTTGTGTACAAACGGTCAGAATAATTTTTTAAGGTTACATCCCCCAACAAGCAATTTGTTGTATGAAATAAATTTCATATATAGTATTTCAAATCGTTTTTTAAAATTTTCACAGCGTTTTTTAAAATTTCTTATAATCCTTAAAATGTCCTTATACATCGATCAATATCAATACAGAATCAAGTAAAATTAAACGACAGATATATGCACAAGATTTTATGAATATCGAAGACTCAATCATAAAAGTTTTTATTGATGAATCATCCTTTAATTTGTATTTGACAACTTTGGGAAGATCTATAAGAGGAAAACCAGCAAGTACCATGATACCGTCAACACATGGAACTAATGTAAGTTTGATATCTGCAATAACAGAAAATGAAGCTATTTTTGCTCGAACATTTTTTGGTTCAGTGAACTCCGATAAGTTCATTCATTTTTTTGATCGATTGATTGAAAAATGCGATCAAAAATCAATTTTTAAGAATTGCATTTTTATCCTTGATAATTCAAAGATCCATGTCTCCAATATTACCAAAATTTTTTTTTTATGAAAAAGGAGTAAAGGTTATGTTTTTGTCCCCTTATAGTTAGTTATATGCTTCATCCAATTGAATTTGCATTTTCAAAAATTAAATCCATTGTAAGAAGATCACTGGCAAGTGGATTTAATGAATCATTTACAAATCTTATATATTAAATTCTGTACAACAATTAATCACAAATGATTTGTTTACAAGGTTAATTTTTACTAACCTTGAGTACATTCTTTCTTGATGTTTGTTCACCGCTGGCTTCGCTAATTTTTACTTCTCGAATATTGAATTGAATATCAGGTTTACCAAGTGGTTGATTTATTTTCTGATCGGTGTTTTTTTTGTTTGTTTAAAATAAATAAATTTGTTAATAATTCTTAAAAACGTTGATTATACATATTCTAGGTTTCAATTAATTCTAATGATTAAGTTTTAAAAGTAACTTTAATAGTAACAATTATTTTTCTTTTTTGTATTTACAATAAAATAATAATAAACTTAATGTAATATAGATTTCAGCTAAAGTTTAATACTGGTTAAGCTACTAAGTTCAAATAAATAATAACTTATACAACGAGTATGTATCTAATGTATAAATGTATGTTAGTGTCTTCTCATTGTTGAATGATGCTAGGGAGACTGCAATTGATCAACCTTCTTTTTGGTAATATGTACATTCTTTGCAGATTGCCTTGATTTTACTAGTTAATAACAAATGTTTCAGTCACATTAATCCAACAACAGAGAATAAGCCAAAAAAAAATATGAACGAGAAGTAGTGAATGATTATACTTTTATTATTATGTATGGTCACGCACCCAGGTCTCTAAGACCAACACTAATCTATCTTCCTTTTGAGGTCCCTCAAGAAACAACCTTCCACAGTGTGGGCAGCCGGGAAGTGACAACAGCCCTCATACCCATACCAGCACACGAGACCGAATTGGTCAGAACCAAATCCTTCCTACACCTCCTAATACCTCTCTTATCTCCACGACTAACTCTTCTCACATTTCTTTATCACACTGCACAACTAATGCAAACAATGCGAGTTCATGAAACGTCATTTCTGGTCTGTCTATGGTTTACATATAAAGTGAACACACAATAAGTTGAAGCTTCTCAGTTTATCCATTAACAGTGATTAGTTAAAAATGAATTACAATTTAGATAACTCTTTGTATCCCTTAGAAACAAGGGTTCATGGTATTACGTCCAAAATATTCATGAAAGAAGAATACCATGATCATTTAGTTCACAACAAAGAAATTTATCCTTAGTTCCAATATCCTGTGCTGATTGTATATAATATTTATGTGGAAATTCCAAAAAAATTATTTATCAAAACCAATTCAATAGTATGCAAACGCAAAAATTAAGATATTTCCAAGTTTAACTTACAGGCAAAGTTGATTTATTATCTTTATATAGAAAAAGTAATGGACCAGAAAGATGTAATATACCAGGTATCCATTTTTTCGATATACGTTTATCATTTTCAATTACCATAGTACGATTCACTGTACCACGTCGTTCAAAGTGCTAAAAAAAAAGTTATCAATAAAAATCAGTTGTAGTTTGTTTTTTTTAATTGTTGAAAATAGTTTTACAAAATCAGTTTGATGTGTATGTAACATAAGTCACTCATTGACCAACTAACTCTATAAGTTTATGCACTCATAAGAAAAGAAAAATGTAAGATTGACACAATGTGAAATACTTGAAATAATAAAAATAACAATAACAATAATTTGTCTATAACTAATATCACAAGATATTGTCGATTAACTTAATATTGAATACGTTTAATGGTCAATGTTGTGACGTGTTTTTTGGCTTCAGTAAAATATATTTCATCAACGTTAACAATTGTTAACTTGGTTAATATCAGTATATGAAATTTATTCATTAAGTATAGGGGTTTATGTGACCAGCGTTAGGGTACATAGTTTATATGAAGAGGTTAGTGATATTATCAATTATCCAAACTAAAATAGTTAAAGTTGGGGTTCGAATCAGAGACAGAATAGTTGGATTTAGAAGAGTGAAATCGCAATAAGTTTCAACTCTTAACGAAACTGTTTATTATTAAAAAGTATGTAATAAACGATTGATAGTTAAGAGAATGGTAGCGTTCACATTTTGAAGATTTTACTTATAATATATTCAAACCTAATTATCGCTAAAATATGCTTATACCAAATAATCAACACAAGAAAATTTTGATTTCTGTAATTCCCTATAGCTACTTGTTTTTGACATTGACTAGATTAAATTCCTTCTCATGGATTATACAGTGTTTAACGTTATATTATCCATACATATTTTGACATATTGAAATGAAGTTAAATTATCGAATAGGACATGCTTTTCAATAATCAACTACTTAATTATGATAAACGCTAAATAGTTAAGTGAGATAATTTTGTCTGAACCTTAGATTATCTTCAAAAGTTTCAGTCTTTTAATCTAAAGATGGTTGACAAAAAAAAATCCCACAATCGGTAAAAGCGATTTTTTAAAAGTTTATCAGATATTACACACATTACAATTTTGACATATTGCAATTGACAGCAGGTAGTTAGGATGATGTAAGAAAGTCAGTGTAAAAATAAGTAGATAGCTTAAAAAAATCTTTGTATACCGTAAGTTTATTTTCATGTGGTCCACTGATATGTTCTTTGCATAGATTCTTTATAGGAACACGTCCACCGGTTCCTTGATCGTGATCATCAAGACTGATTAAGCTGAAAGGTCTACTGATAACTTGTGTTGAACCGACTTCAGTAGGTAAATGTGAATTCCCATGAGACTGTAAAAAGAACATTTGTTATATTTAGAATGGAATATTGCATTTACCATTTTCAATAATTCATATTGACTTTTGAATAAACGGGATAATTGATGAGGCTGACAATGTAGATACTTTCGGTGACCATTAATCAAGTATATGTTCATGAAATATTAAAAATACTTAGACTCTGATTTCGATACATCTTAAGAACAATAACTACTTATCCCTAGTAAACAATTTATTGTAAAACAGGAGTATTAAATAACTCACTGCAATTTACTAAAGAAGTAGCAAGCGTCCTTGTTGAATCATTTTAACAAAGGGATACTTATAAATAAATACAAAAAAAGGAACTGAATTCACATGAAAAAAAGTGATCTGAAAACTAGCTCATACCATTTTAGACTGACTCATCATTCTCCGATTAACTTTATTCATACTCGACATTCTGGATACAGACGGGTATTGATCAACACAAAAAACATCATTTTCATCTCCAGATGCTGAACAAATGAAATCTTCAGTAGAAGGATTCAATTCATAAGCGTCTAAATAATTATTTAGCGAATCAGACAAATGTGGTGTATCTGTAACTGGTGTTTCTAAATCTTCAAGTGCCCATACAGATTGACGGGTGTTTAATTCATAATAATATGTCTTCCCATACTGATCAGTTGCTGGAATCCACTAAAAATTTTAAGAGGAGTAGAAACAAAAAGGAAAATATTAAATCTAGGCAAACAATACTTATCAACTTTTACATATGATTATCATAAAACTGTAGTATCATGAAGTTGCTTTTGCCAACTATCAAGATGCATAAAACACATTCCGGAATGAAAGAAATTTATCACTTCGTCATAATGATACAAGTTTTTTTTCTTGAAAATCTGAATGATTATTTTTTATGACAACTGTAAATTACCTCAGAAGAAAACGTTTTAAATTAGTGAGGAAACAGTAATAATGTGTGATCTTATTTACTGTTTTAACATTTGTCATGAACTTATAAGGTTAGAAGTACGTGAAATTTTTATTATTTCTACATACATCCGATTTCTTGAACATATTCCGTTAAAGTTCTGATACAGTACGTAATGCAACTAAGATTTCATTCACTCACATATGTCAGTCATTTATCCCTATAACACATGATAACGTGAACTTTCATTCTGGCAGTATCAGGTTTCTCCATTGTTAAAAACATAGAAACGGTATGAAAGAACTAAAAAGCAAATTACAATTTATTTCATTAAATTCAGACAGACAGACACAACGCAGAACTTCGTACATAAGTACATCAGTTCAGGTTGCATACCACATCAGCACAGAGACGCAACTGTGGTAGCGACAGCAAAAGTATAAGCAGTAATGGAGAAGATTAGGGAGCGACGATATGATTCGAGAAGTATAATTCAGTAAGATAAATTTAGAAGGAGAAAGATAGAGAGTATGAGGAATTCAGAAGGTTAGGATTTCAGAGAACGCAAAGAGTGGATGCGCCTGAGCCATTGCAAACGATTTTGAGCCAAGACGTTCGAGGTCTCTAGCAATTGGTGACTAATGTCTCGCGGACCCCAACCAGATAGCCTGCACCTACCAACATGACTCACTTCAGTTGTAAGTGAATCCATGAATTTCTGCCACTCTTTGGATTGGCCGCGCCTAGCTTTCTTCCAACCTACTCCTACACCACAAAACATAGCTCGTCGAGGCAGTCGGTGGTTCGGCATACGCAAGACATGTCCCAACCACCTCAACTGATGAAGTTTCACTACTTCATCTATTGATTTGCCATCCCTACCTAGAACTCGTTTCCTAACGACAGCATTGCTTATACGGTTGTCCCAGGATACACGAGCAGTGCTTCGGAGACACCGATGATGGAAGACTAGTAACCTACGAAAGTCCTCTACTCTTAACGGCCATGTTTCACAGCCATATAGTAGGACGGAGCGAACAGCTGCTCGGTACACTCGACCTTTGGTTAGCGAGCGGATACCTCGCCTGCGCCATAGGTGACGCGGTTTGGCAAAAGTCAACCAATCGTCAGTCACCAGGCCATCAGCGCTGATGAAACTCCTGAGATAAGTAAAGCGGTTAACACACTCGACTATTTCACTCCCTATCACTAGTTCAGGTGCCAGTGCAAGCCAATGCTGAAGCAACATTTTGCATTTCGAGGGGGAAAACCATATCCAGAACATGCTTGAATCGTTGCTTAGGGTAGTCAGGAGACACCGCATTTTGTCAGTGTCTTCACCGAATAGAACTATGTCATCGGCAAATACTAAATCAACCAATGAGTATCCTGGTAGAAGGTCCACAGCTGAAAAGTCGGACGAAGATAAAGTTAAACTATAAAATCATTCGTTCATAAAGAATGTTATGTATTCTAAAATGACGAACAATCACTATCCAAGAATGTTTAAGTCAATACAATAGTAATGGATATGTTACCAGAAAAAAGAACAGTAAACAATACTTAGTTTCTGAAAAGTATTATCATCAATTATTTGCCAACTACTTATCATTGATAAGTAAAAATTTTTTTATTTTGTACATCTGTACAGTAATGATTACTATGATTAACTTCAAACTTTGATTTTTTTGTTATCAAGCTACTGATCAATATGACCGTACAGTAAACGGATTGAGAGAAAATAAATAAATAAAAATTATATGAATCTCCAGTTTTGTAAGAAAACAATAGAACCAATTATTGTTAATATCAATAACTTTGAACTGACTTTTTCATCAGTTGCTTCGTTAATGTACATTTCTTGACCATTGTTTACACAATGACGCCAACGGACTTCATTTTCTTGATTACTTGATGCGAATTCAGACGGTGAAATATTCTAATAAAAATAAAAATCCAAAAACTCAAGTCTATGAAACAACAGTAGTAAAATATCTTTTATTCACAAGGAAATTGCACAAACAAGTTTATAAGTATCAATCATTGTAGATCAAATATTCTTATGATTGTTACAACCAGATTTTGTGCTTGTTTCTTTGAAATGTGAGAAGAGTAATACAGCTGAATTATTAGTTCATTATATTAAAATAAATTGATATTTCGTATATTTGTTTATTTAATGAATAAATGTGAAACTTAGTCTGACTATATAATAATAATAATAAAATGTCAATTTTATCAGGTTAAATTATTTTGTTAGTGATATATAGTTAAGATGTCGTGACTTAACATAATACGGAATCAAAAAAACTTTGAAAGCATAAACAGAATATCACAGTTTCAGGACATTTATTTATTTATTCGATAAGTTAAATGAAATATTTTACCAGATGAAAACAGGTTTACAGTATTTTGTAAATATATATACATATACAAAATCTGTTGCAGATTCCTTTGTTTTACTGATATAAGACATAATCCAACAAGTGAAATTCTAATTTTGTCAGTAACATATAATAAAACTCAATAATAAACAATTCAGAATCTGGTAACAACTTTCAAACTTAGGATTTAGTTTTGTTTAAATTACAACTATACCGAAATCTACCCTGAAGTACAGGAAATATACATAACAATCTATTGAGGTATTAGTGCCTGTTACTCGTTATGAAATGAAAGTTAATACATCTATAAGAAGCAAATGAAATTTCTTTGAAAATACGAATCTACACAACTTTGAATTAACGACATGTTCAAGCATATAAATTTTTGAACAAGTCAGTTCCACCTTGTAACCGGTTACAATAACTAATTTCGTCCTGCAAGGAGTCGATTGCTTTGTCAGTACAACAATAATAGATTCGGACTGTGACGAAGGGTAACCTATTCTTGTTGATTACTGAAACGCACGTGATCAATACCGCCTAATCATGAAAGATTGCTTTTCTATGAATTTTGAAATACTTGATTCCAAGCAAGACCAACTCAAAGTAAAACATGTGTAGTATTTTTAAAATGTCTAACTCCCTAGAGTTTTTGAGAGCACTGAGGACCCTACCAATAGCAATGAAACTGTGTAGATTTCATTTTTAAGATCAACAAGTATAACCACCACCTCCCTTTTATAACAGAAAGACAATGTCATACAAGGTACTGTCAACTTTCGATACAGTCAGAAAAATGAATCCGCTTAAAAAACTCAAATGACTGATTGTTTTTGATTGCATCACTTTTTAGCCGAACGTTTTGGGATACCAAGATTTCAACAAAGCATTTGAATTACAGAACCTCAAATGATATGATAAAGTCTAATGTATTCAGAGCACTAAACACAATCAGCATGTCGACGGGAATAAAATCTTCAATTACGAGATCTTTCATGTAGTATATTATATCAGGGGGATAATATTTTTATTCCCTCCCCTTGAACATTTCAATTGAAGGGAACTGAGGCAACCAGTTATAGATCAAACTTGTATTCGAATAAATCAACATACGCTCGTGCGAAATGTAACTGATCGTCTTCAGTTTACTACTGTGATACGTTAATAGTAAACTGCGAATTCTCAGGATACCTCAATGTACAAAAACAGCGGTCTGGTTAAAAAAACCAGTGACATATATCTACCGCGTGAAGTACATCTATTAACAGAAACAGTTTAAATCTCAACAAGCTAAGAAATATAATTTTATGCATGCATTTTAATTGTGTAACAGTGTGTTAGTGGTAAAATATAAAGTTTCAAGTAACAAACTGAAGGGAAAGAAACTTACCTCCACGTTAGTATTCCTTCTACGTTCAACTGAATACTGTGAACCATCAGAAGATCGCATGCGCTGAGAATCGCAGTATGATGATGCTTACGTATTAAATATGGAAGAAAAACAAAAATTTCACTGATTAATTTTAGTAAATCAATATTTGGAGATAGAAGTACAACTTATGTCACATTGATAAAACTAAGTCAATGGAATGATTATTAAGACAATAATGTATGGAAAACATCAAGCAAAAAGTGTTTAAATGCATCTTTTATCAGTCAGTCACCAACAATGTAGAATTTCATACGTAAGTACATTAATTCAAGTTGACATTTCACATTAGCACAGAGACGCAATTGCTAATTCTAATCCTACCGAGGTAGAGATAGTAGACGTATTAACGGTAATTGAGAAGATTAGGGTTCTAAGATATTATTCAAGATACATAATCCAGTGAAATACGTTTAGAAAGAGAAAGAAAAGGTCATGAGGAATTCAGATTAGAATTTGAGGGAACACAAAGAATGGATGCACCTGAGCCATTGCAAACGATTCTGAGCCATGTCATTAAAAGTCTCTAACTGTCGGTTAAGATTGTCTCGCAGAAGAAATACTTTGAAGACGCCTATGGTTGAAAACCGGAAACTAATGACTATCCTCAACTCTTACTGGCCATGTTTCACACCCATGTAGGACAGAGCAAACTAGTGCACATTATAATCGTCCATTAGTTAGCAGACATATATTTCGCCTACATCATAAGTGACGCAGGTTGTCCGACAGTAGCTGCTACCTTGACATGGTGGTCGGGCTTGCCTATCATGGTGACCCAGCCAAGCTATATTGGCTGGAACATATGTTTCAATAGGTTCTACCATGCCAGGCAGGTCGATTGGAGTACTTACAAACTTACTTACTTACGCCCGTTAACCCCAGTGGAGCATACGCCGCTCACCAGTTTTCGCCAACTAACTCTGTCCTGGGCATCAAGAGTATCAACAGAGATCCATTCCTTGTGATGGTGTTTATTGTGATCCAGAACCTCCTGATATCTCGAAGTGATTACCTCCTTAATCCCTTTCTAATTGTTCTCCAGTGTTGCTTCCTCTCTATTGAGTAGATCCTGAAAGGCCTGGAACCTATTGGTGAGGGCTATCTTGAATTCGTTGAGTTTTACGGTATCCTGAAGAAAGGCTGTATTAAACTTCTGTGATGTTGTCTGTCCCGTTGTCCAGTGCTTCTTTAGTTTCAGTTTCATTTTGGCGACCATCAAGTGGTGATCTGAGGCTATATCAGCTCCTCTCTTGGTTCTCACATCCTCCATGATCCTTCTGAACGTTTTGTTGATACAGATATGGTCAATATGGTTTTGAGTAGTGTGGTCCGGTGAAATCCATGTGGCTTTGTGAATGCGTTTGTGCGGGAATATTGTGCCACCGATGACCCGTTTGTTGAAGTCACATAGCTTTGCAAATCTCTCACCATTTTCGTTCCTTTCTCCCAGTCCATGTCGTCCCATGATGTCTTCATATCCAGTGTTGTCCTTTCAAACCTTGTCATTCAGGTCTCCCATAAGAATCGTCAAATCCTTTGGTGAACATTTCTCGACGATTGACTGCAGCCTTTCGTAGAATTCATCTTTAACGTCGTCGTTGTAGTCATTGGTAGGTGCATAACATTGGATGACGTTCATTGTAATGTCCGCTTTCTTTGTTTTGAAGGATGCTTTAATGATACTGGGTCCATGAGATTCCCATCCTATCCGTGCCTTTTGTGTATGTTTGGACAGAATCAGTGCAACTCCCTGTGTATGTGAAGCATTTTCCTCTTCATGACCACAGTATAACAGCAGTTCCCCTGAAGCTAGTCTCAGTTGTCCTACCTGTGTCCAATGCGTTTCACTGATGCTGAGCACCTCGAGGTTGTATCTTTTCATTTCTGCCGCAACTTGAAATAGTCTTCCAGTCTCCCACAATGTACGAACGTTCCATGTACCTAAAAAAATGGTTGCTCTGGTTGTCAGAATGGACATCAGCCTAGTGACTTCCGAGGAAACTCGGCTTTCATCACGCGACGTCATAATTCTTCTTCCAACTCCCAGGGCAGAGTTAAAATGGTTTGAATTATTTTTTCTGGTTAGCGTTTTTTTGGCAAGTTAGTTTTAGTTGGGATGGGGGCGCCAACCCCATGTCCAACCCCTCCTCCTTTATCCGGGCTTGGGACCGGCAGTAGCCCCGAAGGGACTACTGGCGGAGTTTCGATTGAAGTACGGTGAGACTAAAATCCGCAACTCAAGGTCCGGGGGTAAAGTCCTACTGACGACTGTAAAGAGGTATGACAGCAGTAAAGTGTTTCCCTCTGACAACCAGCATTAGCTGCAGCGATGCTACCTTCTCATAACGGAAGGAAGGGGTTAGAAAGGTCGACACTGAAAATGTCAAATCTCACCTTACCTCACGGATTTCCGTCCCCGAAAGTAAGGCATGTTGAAGAGATGAGTTAACACGTAAAAACATCCCAAAAAAGGCCGTGCGTGAAAGGCCTCAAGCAGTTGTCCCTTGGGCTTTGCAGTCACCCTCTCAGGTCTCTAAGACCAACGCGAATCTAACTTTTTGTCAGGCCCCTTAATAAACACTTTAACACGATGTAGGCAACTGGGATGTGATATCCACCGTCAGACCCGTAACAGCGCATAAGACCAAATATGTCGCCTACGCCATAAGTGATGCACATTAGCGAAAACCAATCGAACCTTCTGTACCCGTGCTGAGATTTCGTAACACATCAGGCTATCAACACTGATGAAACTCTCAAGATAAGTGAAGCAGTAAACACGCTCAACTACTTCCCTTCCTATCACTAGTTCAGGTGCCGGTTCAAGCACCCGACTCCTAATAACAGCGTTCAGTCAGTCAGTCAGTCAGTCAGTCAGTTGCAACGTAGAACTTCGTACGTAAGTACATCAGTTCATGTCGCCATACCACATCAGCACAGAGATATAACTGTCAATTCAAACCCAATAGTAGAAGAGGTAGTAAAGGTATCACAAGGTATCAGAAGACTGCATTTTGTCAGCGTCTTCACTAAGTATAACTATATCACCGGCATATTTTGAGTCAATAAGCGAATTTCCTGGTACCAGTCAATATAATTAAAATATATAATTGAATTTCACGGTTACGGCACGAAGTTTAGGTCATTTTCGTTCCACGTTTTCATATACCTGTACAGTAATGACGCTTCTAGGTTGTGGTGAACTTGGTCATTTTCTTCAAGATTGTTGACCATATTACTTAACTTTGTTGTAGTCACTATACTTTTTACTGAGTGGTTTTTGTTTATTGTTCTTTATTGATGTTTTGCTACATATGAACACCTTGGTTTTCTAACTCCCCCACTTCACAGTACTATCAGTTTCCAAATAATATTATTCTTTAAAACAAATATAAACATATATTCTAGCTAAAGATTAGATTTTGTACGTCAGAATGACATTTCGATATATTCTATCTTGATCATCTTTGGTTAATAGTAAATAAATAGTAGTATCTGATTGAGTGGAACAATAATAATTGTTTTTGCTATTTTGGAAGTGAGCTAGTGCTGAATACTTGTTGATAAAATGAAACTTTTAATTTAGCATTGATCGAATGAATTAGATGTGAAATAATTTACTCACCGGTGCTTTCTCTTTTCACTTCCATCACTTTTATATCATCTTCACATAACGAAGGAGATCTTCCATGCGAATTGTTATCATTATCATAAGTGGCCTCATCAATGATTGTATTTGAAACGGGATCCTACGGCAAACACAAAAACTAAGCCTAAACTTTCTAGATTTGTTTCATCTCGATAAAATGATATCTCGTTGGCACAAAGACATTCAATAAACAGTAGAGACACTAAAAAGATCTATTCGGACACCCCGTAAACATTTCAAGAAAGTGGTAAATTGAAGCAGCGATCTGCTTGTTTACAATGAGCATGATTAAAAAGTCTTCATTCAGCTGATTTTAGAAGTATCACGACTTTTCATGTTGTCCTTAGGCAGGGGCCTTGCTAATCTTCTCTTCATCGTTCCCATTCTAGTATTTGTGCTACAAAAACAAGCACTCACAGTCCTCCAAATATTTTAATGACTGAAACTCTTAGAAAAGTAAGGGTAAATATTTTTGAATAACTAATTTTTAGGTGTAGGCCGAAATTTACTGTGTTAGTACTGTTAGGTGTCGAGAGATTTTTCAGTGGTTTAGGTTCTCAACTTACAACCAGTGAATTACAGTTTTAAGCTGTATTATGTATGCCAAAACGGTTTGGTAGTATGGCTAACTTCATAATAATTATGCCTTGCAACGTAACGGAAAAAATTGAAGAAAAATAAAGAGTTCCATTTTCACGATCAGATACGAGATGGTAGATGATCATTTAATTGCTGTCAGTGGACTATTGCAATAACCCGTAAAAAAATAGTGCTTTTGAAGCTGCATTAATAACGTCATTTCACACTCTAGTCTGCAGAATTCGTTATTCGTCAAGATAGACAAACAAACAGATACAACGGGTATGAGGGCGGTTGTCACTTCCCGACTGCCCACACCGTGGAAAGTTGTTTCTTGAGGGACCTGAAAAGGAAGATAGATTAGAGTTGGTCTTAGAGACCGCAGAGCCCAAGAGACAACTGCTTGAGGCCGGTCACGCACGGCCTTTTTATGAAAGGTATTTAGAGGATTAGCTCCGTTCTTAAAGGCCCTTAGTGGGCACCCTTACCCAGGGAGACGGAAATCCGTGAGTTAGGGGAGGTGTGACATTTTGAGGGCCGACCTTTTCTAACCCTTGCTTCCTTGTGAGAAGGCAGCATCGCTGCAGATGCTCGTTGTCCGAGGGAAACACCTTACTGCTGTCACACCCCTCCCTTTGCAGTCAGCAGTACGACTTCGCCCTCAGACCTTGAATATCTATCTTTAGTCTCATCGTTCTCCAGTCGACCTGTCTGGCATGGTAGGACCTGCAGGAACATATGTTCCAGCCAGTATAGCTCGGTTGGGTCATGATGATAGGCAAGCCCGACCAACACGTCAAGGTAGCAGCTACGGTCGTAGTAGTTTAGTGCCGATTCACCGTCTTACGAGTACGACCTCAAAGCTTGACGATAGACAAGCCAGACCACCACGTCAAGGTGGCAGCTATGGCCGGATGTCAAAATACGCAAGAACTATTAATCACCACAAAGAACTATATTTCTTTTATAAAAAAAAGTTGCAATGGAGAGGTTACCTGAATGATTGCGCATGGTTCTGAAACCTGACCCGACATTAAACTATAAAGAAAAAATGCACGCGATTAGAAAAAAAAAATCATTAAGATACTATATTTCAATAACAACTAAAGTTTCACATAATATGCAATCAAAAATTTGAAATGCAACAAAAGAGAAGATTTATTTTCAGGATCACTTTTAACAGCATGTGATCACTCGCCAGAACCCAGTTACACATCATATTGGTAGTTTTTATGTATGCACTGTGAATAGATATACAAGATTGACAACCGAACGTGACAGTAGACAACAGTTAGATGAGCCAATAGTAACGATGATTTCAGTATCAGCTAGATGAGTGATTGGCTTGATCAGCTATGCAAATGACTATCTGTAGCTCAAAATACACTTTTAGGGAAAAATTTATATGATTCTCTGAGAATCTGAATAAAACCCACTAATGTATTTATCAATGACTTTATCTATTGTTCTAATCTAGATATAAACGTATGGAGAAATTAACAGGTGGTTTATAAAGTGTACCAGTGATATCCGCCGAAATATTCTGGTACAGCCGGGAGTAGGGAGAGTTTGGTCTCCTTCCAAATACTCTTATGTGGACACGAGTGTATAATCACTGCCATAGAAGTTTGATTGACTTTTTTCTCGTAGCAAACGTATTGTTCACGAGATTGAGAGGAAGAAAAGCGAGTATCTGGAACTTTAACTGTGTTGAGAGGTACGGAAGATTCACCCAGGAGAGTTGGCAAACCCTGATTTCAAATTGATGGTGCATATGAGCTCCAGGATCTTAAGGAAACAATTGGCGTATGGACCTATTGTTGATCACTGGTTAGCATGAGACTGCATCCCCTGACGTTGATCCACTGCTTTGTGTATTAGGTCTTCGGATCAAGGAATCAATGAGTGGCCTCCTGAGAAAACCAACTGGTTTGGTTTGGGCGTCCGGAAAGTAGCCCAGCCAACTCACAAATTCAATAATTTGTGTGGCGCACAAATATTTAGGTAATCTTTTGTACCAGTGTCTATGTTGAAATAAAATAAAGAATGATAATAACTATAGAGAACGCGGAAGCTTAAAATATAATTTTACGGGAAAGGCCAAAAGATTGCTGTTATCAACTACTCGCATAAAACTTAAAAATAAAATCTATATTAGTCAACAATAAAATAATAATGTATCTTGATATCCCAAAAGGTGAAAATTCAGATTTTTAACATTAAGTGACTGAGTGTAAGCTGATTTTTTAGAGTAAATAAATAAGATTTATTTGTAAGTTATTCATAAATTTACTGCCAGTAGGTTTCACAACAAAACCTCACCTGATTTTAATGCTCAAGTAGGTAGACTCAGTGAAAAGGAAAGACACCTGGGTGGACCTTATGGTGTCGCGGCTCAAAGAACAGATAATGGCGACCGTCTATTGCAATTGTGCTCAGATAACTGCCTAATTCTAGTAAACACTAACTTTAGGCATAAGGAAAAACATCTCTTGACATGGTGACCCCCAGATTCGTCACAACGCTGGACACAACTATATCACATTGCCATCAGCCGCCGTTGGAAAGGTTCGATAGTGGACTGTCGCTCGTTCTAGGGCACATGTCTAGATTCAGATCATGCTCTAATGCGAGTGCGTATTTTTCTGAGACTTACCGGACGTAGAAGAGACAGTGGAAGGATGATACTGAGATCCACGGCTTCTTCCTAGCAATATGGCTTACCGTGCTAGCAGACATCACTGCTGTTCCCACAGCTTCTGCGATATTATTCGAAGCTGCCTCCGGATGGGGATCACTTACATGATCGCCTTACTATTTCTCTAGTTGTTCCTGATATGTATTCATAGCTCTGCTATGAATACATATATTGGCCTCGATAATACTTCGACGCTTAACGAAAGCTAGACTAGAGAAAACCAGGCTGGCTTCCGACCTGGACGTGGCTGCATAGACCACATTTCCACACCACGACAGGTCCTGGAATACAGACAAACATTTAGGCGTCCGACAATAGTCGTCTTCCTGGACCCTAGGGCTGCGTTTGGCTCCGTGAATTGTGAGGTTCTGTGACAGTGTCTGTCATTGAAAGGTGTACCAAAGAAGTACATTAACCTTATACAAGCTCTCTACTCGATCACCACAGGTCGAGAGGCAAACTGTCATCGGAATTAGTTCCTTCAAATAGTGTCCGTCAGAGCTGTCCACTCTTTCCATTCTTGTTTAACTTTGTCGTAGACATCCTTTTAGAGTTTACACTATCATCGTCTGACGTTGCAGGAGTGGACCTTCTACCAGGAGGATCGCTTATTGACCTAGAGTATGCTGATGACACAGTTCTATTCGGTGAAGACAGTGACAAAATGCAGTCTTTTGACTACCCTAAACAACAATGCAAGCGTGTTTGAGATGCGATTCTCACCCTCGAAATGCAAAATGTTGCTTCAAGATTGGGTTGCGTCGGTACCTGAACTAGTGATAGGGAGTGAAGTAGTCGAGTATCAGCGCTGATGGTCTGGTGACTGATGAAATCTCAGCACGGATACAGATAGCTGGATTGGCTTTTGCTAAGCAAAGGTCGAGTGTTCTGTGCAGCAGTTCGCTCCGTCCTACTTTATGGCTGCGAAACATGGCCAGTCAAAGTAGGAGATATTCGTAGGTTATTGGTTTCCGATCATAGGTGTCTCCGAAGCACTGTTCATTTATCGTGGGATAACTGAGTAAGCAATGCTGTTGTTAGGAAACGAGTACTAGGTAAGGATGGCAGATCAATAGATGAAGTATTGAAACTCCGCCAGTTGAAGTGGTTGGGACATATGTTACGTATGCCCGACTGCTTCGAAGAGCGGTGTTGTATGGTGTAAGAGTAGGTTAGAAAAAGGCTAGAGACACCCAGACCAAAAAAATGGCAGAAATCCATGAAGTCACTGACAAGTGGACTGAGTCATGTTGTTTGCTCAAATGCTAATCTTCTGAATTCCTCATCACCTCTGTCTTTCTCTTTCTAAAGTTATCTCACTGAATTATACGTCATCGAACCGCCAATAAGTCTACTATCTTCACCACTATGGGATATGAATTAACAATTGCGTCTCTGTGCTAATGTGATACGAAAACCTGAACTGATGTACTTATGTACGAAGTTCTACGTTTTAACTGACTGAGTGAATGCCCATGAAATGGGGGGGCTAAGAACAATAAGAGCACGGAGGAAAACTATTGGATAACTTGATGAACCTCTTTTTTACGCGTTTTTGTAAAGACAAGAAAAAAGCCTTTCGAAACGACAGTGGTTTGCCTGAAATGATTTACATAATGATATGTAGTGAATTAAGTTAAGAGATTAGCGGTTACATAATCCAGCTTTAAAAATGCAATACCCAGGAATTCATAGGCTAAACACAAGCGTTGGAAAAATAAGAGGATTAATACAGCAAACGTTATGGTAGGAAAATAAAAGCAAACGGTACGACAAACAAGCTAATACTGAAGCAATGTTAAGTGGTGAAAGCTCGGGTGAAAAACTAAGTTATAAACCTTAAAAGGTCTCAGTACCACTGGAGTTGAAACCAAATGAGTTTTATAGGTTTATGCTGGTAGTAAAACGAGAGCTCGTAAAAACAGATCCAGTCGAAAACATATTCAGTCATGGATAAATCTCAGCTGCGCGACCGATGAAACGTAGGCACACAGAACGAATGTGTTAACCTCCCGTTAAAACCTACGCCAGTGAACACCCATCGCCCAACACGGGATTTAACCAAGGACCGACATAGCTGTGACGGCAACATAATCTTAGGGTGCATCTTTAGACAGTTTCCAGAAATAGAAGATCGGATGAGTTGGGCAGTGTTATTGGACAAGCGACGGAGATTACTTATAGGGAGGGGAATAAATAATAACAACATATCATACGAGTTCACATTATTGAGTTCGTTTATTGTTAATTAAAAGGACCCATCAAGTCAGTAAAGAACATACTATCACCTGAGTCATGAGCCCTAAGTTCGCTTGTGTTATAAAGTTAGCTCTAAATTTAAAGCCGTTTACTGATTAATACGATTGTGATTCACAGGCACACGTAAGAAACATATTCACTTCAAATGCAACGCACCCATCAAACGTCTGCGCTCACAAGTACAAATCCCAATGTCTAAAACCAAAGTGGTGAATGCTCCGCTGTATTCATTAGTGGATCTCAAATTAAAGGACTTTTCTTGTCTCTTAACTGAAAATTCAAAGGTTCAAATCTAGTTTCAGATGCTATTTCATCTTTATGTTCTTGATAATAGAAAGACTAATGCTTTAGTTTTTATCTAGTGAGATTCTATGAGTGTTTAGTCTTCTCTGGATTGAGTTTATTTCAGTTTCAGACACCAGCTCTTCGAAAAACAGGTTATAAGAGTTTATAGCTCAATGTAAAAACTTATATTCCTTGGGTAATTTGTTCATTATTGGCTTTCGAACTCGTTTGCACTTTCACGATGTACTATGAAGATAAAAACATAGTTTATCATTTCCAAAACGATTTCTCGGTATTCAAGACGTCGAAGTAAGATCATTTCCTAATCTTTCTTGGGATAGAGCAGGGTTTAATTTTTCGGGCAACTATGTGTGTGGTCAGTTCCGGAATTCTGAAATTCCATGTGTAGATCATCTTTGTAACTATTTCAAAGATATCTGAGTCACTCTCAAACAGGAATTTGCAGCCTGGACGACCTTCCAAAGTTTGTGTCTTATATTTAGACAGGGTTGCTGTCACCAATACTCCCTCAATGAAGAACTATTTGTATTTTGATCTCCAGTGTGCAATAACAAAGTCTTCAACCAGCTAACTGCGAAGTCTAGGTCAGCATGAACTGAACGTAAATTTGCACTCCTGTTTATCGACAAAAATCGACTTCGGGGACTTACCGATACTTGGAAGTTCGTTCAAACATTGCACAAAAATTATGTAGTTCATCTGATTATTTCGAGTTCACATCTTAAGTGCTTCAGTCTGTCAGTACATCGTTTTGAACAAAGTCCACGGTGA